GGGTGCAGGGGTGCAGGGAGGTCCCTCCATCCTCACACACAGGGTCAAGGTCCCTGGCTAGAGCCCATCGCGGCTGCGGGACAGCCAGGCCACCTGGTGCCCTCCCCCTGGGGCCGCTCCTCCTCTCCTGGCCGGCTGGCAGCTACTGCAGGGAAGACCCAGCTCCCAGCAACCCCCTCTGGTACGGAGCCACCTGCGGAGGCCCAGCCCTGCCTCCCCACGGGGCAGACCTGAAGGGGGCGTGGGTCCTGTGGGCCGCAGGGCAGGGGCAGTGGGTGGGTGGGCCACGAGGGCTGGTGGGAGAAGGCGCCAGGCATTATTTCTAACTCTCAGGAGGCAGACGGGTGGGCCCTGGGTTTACTGCTTCCCAGGGAACAATGGGAAGCTGGCTGTCTGTGTTGGCGGCTTAGTCATGTCCTGGGTTATGCGGTTCCTGGCGCGGGGCCGGGCCGCTGCGGCTGTGGGAACATGTGCCCTGGGTTCCAGATGATTGAGCGTGAGCTCTGAGGAGAAGCTGGGAAGTGCTCCCCAGTGTCCCTTCACACGGGCGTCTCCTGCCTGGGGGGCTTCCCCCTGCCCTGGTGGTCACTCAGCAGGATGCTGAGCCTGCACAGCCCTGGGGTTTCTGCCCTCTGCCCCCCTCACCCTCGGCTTTCGCTCCATCTGGCCCCACCCAGCAGACTTGGTGACCTGAAGCTGCCTGAGGACAGAGCCACACTCCCCTCCCAGGACCTCGGGAGTCTCCAGGCGGCAGACCCGCGGGCTCCCCTAAACGCCTTCTCCCTGGGATCCGGGGTCTGGGGGGAGACTCGCCCCGGGAGCCCTGGTGGAGGTGAGGGCAGAGCTGAGGCAGCCGGCAGCCAGGCCGGCCGCTCTGGGAACTGCCCGTAGGAAAAGCCACTGGCACCGTAGGCACTCCAGGCAGATGGCGGAGTGCCTTCTGGAACCTGGAGCTGCAAGGCTGTGCCACCAGCACGGTGGGGTCACCGCGGGCAGGGAGGCAGGGGTGGGGCTGGGGACCGTGGCCTCTCTCCCTGCTCTCTAGGCTCCAGCTGGTGCCCCTTGGCAGAGCCCCCTGGGAAGCCAGAGGCAGGGATTCAGGTGATGCAGGTCTGTGTCTGGGACCCAGAGCAGGTGGAGAAGGGAAGGAGGGCCTCCAGGGGGGCAGCCAGAGGCCCTGCAAGGATTGTCCCCAGACTTCCCTGGGCTTCCCAGAGCATCTTCTGAGTCCCCAGCACCCCTGTCTGTGCCAAGCTCCTTGGGGCCCCTAATCAGCAGCAGCTGGTGGTGTGACAGGATCCTGACCTCCTCCAGGGCCACCTGACCACCCGACCACATGCACTTCTGGGCAGGCAATCTGGGAGGGTACTCCAGAGAGGGCACAGCCTTCTCACCCCTTTGCCTCTCAACCGCAGCCCAACTTGGTTCCCAGCGACATGCGCAGCGCCTGGAGAGGTGTCTGCACACAGCTGGAGCTTGGCAAGTGTTTGCAGAGTGAATGAAAAAGTGGGGTCCGGGGCCTCGCCTGCTAATTCTAAGGAAAGGCCACCTCTTCAGGAGTGGGTCAGGGTGACCCCGGGTCCCTTGGGAAATGGGTGCAATGCCAAGAGTGGTCCTCAGGGCCTTGCAAGTGGGGGCGCTGCCCTGGCCTCTGGAGAAGCCCACCTCTGCACCCAGAGCCCAGCTGACAGCCACCTGCTCCCACTGAATATCCAGTGACAACCATGTGATGCCCATCGTGGTTCCCAGATATGGAGCCCTTACCCTGGGTGTGGCCCCGCATAAGTGTCACTTATGTGATCTGTTCCCCCAGGAGTGCTCCAAACAGCTAGCACATATATAAACATACATGCAGGCATATATGTAAACAAATGCAAGCATGTGGTAGCGTGTTTGTGGACACTGCTATAAATATTCCCATTTTATGCATCAGGAGATGGAGGCTCAGGGGGGTTGGATGTCAGCTGAAGTGACTTTCCAAAGGTTGCTGGACGGTGTGGGTGGACCTGGGGCTCCCCCGCGCATCTGTCTGAGATCGGAGCGTGGCCTGTGTTCCCTGCTGTGGGGCTTCTCCTAGAAGGCCACCCAGGGCCGCTCAGGGAAGGTGCCCCTCTGCATCCCGCTGGTGCCCCTTTGGCCTTGCAGTAGCTCAGACTGCCCACCCTCCAGGAGCTGGCATGCCCCTCAGTCCCCAGAGGCCTGACCCTCGGGTCTGTGCCTACTGGTGGCTCATCCTGGAACGGTGGAAAAGCCACTGTGCCAAAGGGCAAGCGCTGCAGGAGCCCGACGACCCTGCTGGCCCCTGTCTGCTCAGCTGCCTCAGCGGGCTCCTGGGAGGCCTCCTTCTTTTTGCGCCGGGACACGCTCAGTCCCCGCCCTTTAATGACAAGCCCCGGCCCGGCGGAGGGGACCTGGCAACAGGGCCTTCCCGCTGCCCTCTGGTGCCCTCTCCTGGCCAGATGCTGTTCTGCGGCTGGCCCTGCAGGCCCAGGGAGCCCCGGGGTGGGTAGGACCGGGACCCAGAGGAACCCAGGATCACTCAGGAAAAAGCAGGAAAAGCAGCCACGCGCGGCCCAGGCTTTAACTTCAGCCCCACTGCAGACCCCTGCCCGTCTAATGTACCCACCCGCCCTGACCTGGACCCGTGGTGAGCCCACCAGCTTGAGGAGCCTGGGCGGCCGTGAGGCTGCCCCATCCCTCTCCATTAGTGTCTGCGGCACCTGTAATAACAAATTCTCCCGAGCAGAACGAAGTGGTATGTTTTAGCGCTTTAATGTTTATATTCTTTTGCTGAACGGCTTCCCACGTCTTTAGGTGTCTGGTTTCAACGTGACGGTCCTCAGAATCTCACGATGTCTAAGCCTGATTTTGCAGGCGGACTGCTCTCAGATGCCTGGATGCTGGAGTCAGCAATGGCTCTGCCAAGGCCTCCTCGTGTAGGACCCGGAATGGACGCCTGCCAGCCTGGGGGGCACTCCTGCCGCCTCCCCCCACCCCCCACCCGGGCACGCCAGCTTCTGGTCAGGTGGCACTGGTCCCGGAGGTGGGGCGTGTGTCCCGGGGCGGCCGAGCCAGCTCTGCCCCAGCGCCGCCCGCCGGGGCGCCTTGCCCTCTGCCTCGCGCAGGCAGGGGTGACGCGAAACTGAACAGAAGCTTACGTGTTGAGAGTTTATTCCACAGAGGTAGGAAGGATGACGGAACTCCATAGCACGCGTCTCCTTTCAGATATTAAGTGAAGCCTTTCTAGTTTCTAACTGACGCTTAATTTGGCCCTTTTCCTTCAGTCCTGTGAGTGACGATCAAGGCTAAGAACTCCCTGCTCTGGCCTTTCTAAAGATTTCCGTCGTCGTCTCTGCTGTATTGTGTTAAGGAGACTTATCGCTAGTACGAGATAGGCTCCCTCCTTCTTTCTCCCTTCCCTCCCTCCCTTTCTGTTTACTGCTTGTATTACTGTACTTGGGAGCCATAATAAAACCAAAGACTGGGCAGCTTAACCACCAGAAATTTATTTTCTCACAATTTTGGAGGCTAAAAGTCCAAGATCAAGGTTCCCACCAATTTGAGTTCTGGGGAGGACATAGGAGACCAGGGACCAGGTGCAGAGTATTTGACTTTCCACCAAAAGCATTGCCTATAAGAGGAAAAAATGAACAAACTGGGTGTGACAAACCTAAAACCCTTGTTCTGTGAAAGATTCTGTTAAGGGGTGAAAAGAAAAGCTACACACTTGGGGAGTGTATTTGCAAACCGCCATCCAACAAAACGTTAGTATCTAGAATGTATATAGAACCCTTCAAACCCAAACAATTCCAAGTGAGAAAAACCCCAAACAATCCAGTTAGGAAATGGGCTAAAGATGTGAGCAGACATTTCACCAGAGAGGACACACAGATGGTAAATGAGCACATGAACGATGTGCACCATCATTAGTCATGAGGCAAATGGAAACAAAAACCGCAATGAGATACCATTATTCTCCTGTAAGAATGGCTAAAACAAAAAAGAGTGGTAATGCCAAATGCTGGTATGGATGAGGAGAAACTAGATCACCAAACTTGTTGGTAAAAATGTCGGATGGTACAGTCCCTCTGGAAAAGAATAGGGCGGTTCCCTACAAAACTAAACATACCCTTGCGAGCAGCCCTGCTATTTGCACTATGGGGTGTCTATTCCAGAAATTTGAAAACTTACATTCACACAGAAATCTGTATACAAATGTTCATAGACACTTTAGGTGTATTAGCCCTAACCTGGGAACAACGCAATGTCTTTCAATGCGCAAAAGGTTAAACAAATTGATATTTTGAATTACTTCTCAGTAGTAAAAAGGAACAAACTGTTGGTACATGCAGTAACTTGGATGGATCTCAAGGCAATTATGCTGCATGAAAAAAGTCTTCAAAGGTTACAAACAGGATTCCATTTAAATAGCATTCTTGCAGGGACAGATTTATAGAGGTGGACAACAGATAAGTGGTTGGGAGGGATTAAGGGGCAGGGAGAGGGAGGTGGCTGTGTATATATACAAGCTTTTGTGTATTTGCATCCTCACTGTGGTGGTGAGGAGGAATCTGTACCTGTGATAAAACTGCATAGAACTAAACACACACACACACACACACACACACACACACCAGTGCATATAAAACAGGTAAATCTGAGTAAGCTCAGTGAATTGTATCAAGGTTGATTGATAACAGTTGGAAACCAAGTAAAGGGCATTCAGGGTCTAGAATCTGTATTTTTCTTACAACTACATGAGAAGCTAAAATGATCTCAAAGTAAAAAGTTAAAAAAGGAATGGGTTAAAAGAGAAATGAACATGGCATGCAAATGTTCATGGCCACAACTGAAAATCACAGAATATCTGTGAACAGGTGAATGGATAAACAAAATGAGGTCATCTGGGCAACAGAAAACAAACTACCCCTCAGTATAAAGTGGGAAACTTATGGGACACAGCGACCTGAGTGACTCACGGACACGATGCTGAGTAAAGGAAGACATGCACAAGAGCACAGAGAACGTGGATCCATTTATGTGAAATTCCGTAGCAGACAAATCTATTAGTTTAGGTAAGTCGTCTGGAGCTCAGGGTATGAGTTGACTGGGAAGGGACATAGAGGCCTTTTTACGGGTGATGGAAATGTCCTATATTTCATTGAGGTGGGGGCTACATGGCTGTGTGCATTTGTTGAAACACATCAAAATGCCTACTTAATATATGTAGGTGAACACATTTATCAAAAATCATTGACAGAGACATTTAAAATGAGTGCATGTTGTTGGATGTAAATTATATGTGATTAAAAAGAGTGGGTTTCCTACATCTGAGCAGGAGGTTTTTGGCCCAGCAGCTAGATCTGGCTGACATCAATTTTAGAGCATAGTTTCCCATGTTCCAATTGACAACTGGATGAGATTTATCTCTTAAAATATTTCCCTGCATTCTGTAGATCATTTAACTCATCCCAGCTGGGCCCTAACCCCCAAGCATCCCATCCGCTGTGACTCATGTGATTAATCATCTATGTAAAAGTGTCCATGGAGAAGAGAGTTTGGTCTGGGAACCACGGACACCGGTCTCTCGGGACAAAGCCCCCATTGTTTGCTTTCAACGCAGGCAGCGTTCCTTCAGGACACAATCAAGATGTAGTTGGGATAGTCTTTGCAGAAGAGCCGCTCGCTGCTGTAGCTTGGAGGGGGGCCACCTGGATCTCCTTCTAGTGGGAACGCGCTGCAGGGCCCTTTCCTGTGTGTGGCCCGGCTGCCCCTTGCTGGCAGCCGCAGACTGGCTCTGGGCCCAGGGGCCGTGAGGGCCTGGCCACGCCTGGGGCAGGGCCCCCTACAGCCGGCCAGGCACCCCCAGCGCGCCGCCACAGTCTGCGGCTCCTTCCGCCCCCACCCACTCCCTGGCATCAGGCTCTCTCCTCCGGCGCCTGCTCCCTCTCCTCCTTTCACATGTGCTGTCCACAGCACGCACCTTGTACGTCTACCCATGTCATGGTCTCTGCCTCCCTGGAGACGGGGAGTCACAGACTTACTGACCTCTTGTTTCAGCCAGGGTCTGACCAGGACAGCAGAATCCATGCTGGTTGTTTCAAATGGAGGATGCACGGCAGGGAAGTGTTTCTGCAGGTGTGGGAGGAGGTGAGAGGCTAAATACAGGGCGCTCAGAGAATCAGGGCACGAGCGAGAGCAGGAAGTCACTCTCCCCATGTGGGCCTAGAGGGACAGAGGAAGGAGGAGGGGGTCTTGCTGGTGCCCAGGATGGCAGGCTACCTGGTGGATGCTGGGGCCCTTTCAGGCATGTCAGGTGGAGCTCCCTGCGCTGGAGGGATGGATTTGGCAGGTCCCTTGTCATCAAGTTGGGGACCACCTAGGCAGAGAGAGAGAGAGAGAGAGAGAGTAGAAATGACTTGACTCCTCCCCTGCCTGTGTCCCTCTGCCACTCTCTGCCCTTGTTTAACCCTCCAGAAGCTAAAAGACGATGCGGCCTGGGATTTCTGTTTTCCCCTCGTACAGAACAGAGGCAGGGGAAGCCAGCCTATGAATCTGAAAGAAAACAGGCAAATGACCAGGACACCTTCCAAAGCTACACCCCTGCTAATTTACCAGAAATCTCCATAGGAGTCTATGTGGACGGGTGGGTGGAGGGATGGAGGGATGGAGCGACACGTGATACAGCAGATACGGTGAATCAATACGGCAGAATCTGGGTGGTGAGGTTCTTGGATATTCACTATAAGATTCTTCCCACTTTGCTGTATGTTTGAACATTTTCATGGAAAATATTATACTTTTACTTACATTATTAATATTATATTTTTGTATTAACTTATATTATTATGTTAGTAATATAAGAAATACCCTCCTTTAGTAAAATGTTCATCTTTCATGGGGGAGAGGGAGGTGAGCTTCTGGCACAGCCATTTCTCCCTGGAGCATGGTTACATAGCCCTTCCTTTCTCTCTGCTAAGGAAACAGGAGTGGGGTAACCCCTCCGTCTGCAGCATTTGTGTGGGTGTGGGGGTGTCTGTCATCCATCTTGGTGGAGCCAGAGGTTGCATGCCCATGGGCAGGCTTCAGTCTGTGACATGCTGCGTGGCTCACTGTCTTGCCAATGGGTTCAGCCCCAGGCAAGTTCACTATGGATTCAGTGTGACCAAAGAAAATTGACAGCAGAATGTGCTTGGGGTGAAAGGGTTATACCCAACTTTATTTGCAGGTGGCAGGTCACTCATAGAATCCCATTCACTCAGAGCGAGTCTGCATGCAGCAGGCCGGTCTCTGCCTCTGGGCCCCTCTGCCCGCACAGCCGTTCTCTGGGCCTCTGTCCTCGGCGCTGCCACCACTCCAGCCTCTGCTCTGCTCTTCTGCAGCCTTGCAGCCCTGCCACCATGTCGCCCCCAGAGCACTGGGCGGAGCTCTTTTTATAGAGTCAACAGCCATGTATTGCCCACAGGTGTGCAGTAAGCTAGTCAGCCAGGGCCAGGTGAGAATTCTGGCCACAGGAACTCTCATTTTATCCATATTCACCCACTGTTTTACAACTTTTGAGTTAGTGAGTCACATTAAAAAACTGAAAAATTCTCCTGAAGATCTAAAATATACAACTTATCTCTGGAAACATGAGACCTGACAACACTGGGCTGGCATTTCTCCATAGCAGTTGAATGGAGCTGAGCCAGGTGGAGATGCCCGTCTGGTTTGCCGCAGCCCCCAGCGCTCCCTATTGTCCACACCTGGCCCACTTTACTCACTTTGCTTTCCTGTCTTGTCCCTGAAAACATTTGGATCTAGGGGTCTGGATTCATTAGGACACTTGTATTATAATGAACACTGTACCACCATCCCTTTAAGGCCACATTCCTGAGGCTGCTTTAATGCACAAGCCCCTTTGCGACTTGCTGTATCCATGTGCCACCTCTATTCGCTTAAAACTTTTAACATGGATTCTTTTAAAATAAAACCTTATTTGTAAGTTTCCTAAGTAGTAATCCCCACCAAACCAAGAGTTTGGTGTACTAATCAGGTGTTTTTCTAACACAAAATAAAACATGCTTGTGCCTAAGACCTCAGAGACCATCCCTTGTACTCTGACGGCACGTGCACCTCATTTCAGGCAACACCGATCGGCTTGTGCTAAGCAGATGGCCAGAAAGACTGCCCCTTCCTCGCTCACTAGGCCCTCCCCCTCCTAGCAGCTCCTTTCCTGAACTGCGCTTTAACCATCCTGGCCACTTTTCACCCTGGAACCCAGGCTGCCTTTCGTGTGAATCTGAAACTCACAGCGCATAGAACGGCCTTGGCGGTTCTCCCTTCCCCAAAAGCTGCCTGGTTCTTGCCCAGCCTGAGTCCCCCCTTCTTTGGTGCCTGCTTGGATTTCAGTGCACCCACAGTCTGCCTACATTCGCTCAAGTTCGTCCAGCAGAAGCCTACCCTTTCCTACTGTAGGTCCTTCATCAAGGAGGGGATGCGGTGTGAGGTAAGATCCCGCTGGAGACCTAGACGCACTGGCCCGGGGGGGGGGGTGCCCCGCCGCTCTGAGGATCTGTTGGTATCATTGACGGCTTTTAAGGATTTCCCCTCCTCAATCAGCCTAATAACTTGTAGAAATCGCACATTATTCCAACACCCACATTTACCGGCTGCTTCCCAAGCCTGGCAGGCACGTGATCTAATTTAAAGGTCACAAAACCACTGTGAGGGAGGTACAGTGATTTTGGCCACCTTACAGATGCAGACAGTGACCCTCAGAGAGTGTAAGCGACGTCACTGGCGCCCCACAGCTAGTGAGTGGTGGAGTCCTTGCTCCATGCCAGATCCGTTTTGGCATCCGTGTCCACACTTGTGGCTGCTGCTCGCAGGCCTTTGATGCTGACCCGTTTCCTGTTCTTCTGGGGGAGCTGATCTCAGCCCCTTCCCCCTTCACTTGTAGGTCAAGTGGTTTTGTTGTTCTTGGGTTTCCCTTCGGCTTTCCCGCCGTGGCGCTCGCAGGGTGCCCTGAATCGGGCAGGGCGTTGTGGAAAGGCTACACAAATCAACTTGCCCGATGTGGCCAATTCTGCCTCCCACAACGATACTGTGTGTTCTCCTGCTCAGCTAGGTGGGAACCACAGGGTCACACAGCAGCCTCCACCCTTGAGAGGAATGAATTCCTCTCCATCCTGGCCAACAGCACAAAATGCTCTGGAAAGGAGACCGGAGTTGGTGTTGGGAGGATCCTCAGCCCTTGCCTCCCGTGGCTCAGGATACCCACGGGCTCTCAGCGCCAGGGGGCCATGCATGGCGTGTTCTCCACACCCAGGCAGGAGTGAGCTAGATGCTGGGCGCGCCACGCTGCCCTCCGGCAGAGGCTGCCCTGTCTGTACGTCCAGCGGCAGTGAGCGGGAGCCTCTGCCTGTGCCCACCAACATGGAGCACCATGCACTAAAGGAGATGGACAATGGGCACCGACTCCAACGGCCAGCCCAAGAGTGACCACAGCTCCTACATTTCCAAACTCCCTTGCATTCAGGCTGGGGGTCATAGGATCAGTTCTGGCCAATGAAATTGAGTGGAATGGATGTTTCACTTTCAAAGAGACATTTAAAAGCCATTGCACTTCCGCCAGCACTCTCTCTCTCTCTCTCTCTCTCTCTCTCTCTCTCTCTCTCTCTCTCTCTTTTCTTCTGCCATGGTCACTTTGCGGACCGCAGACGGCAGAGGATGTCACTGCAGGACAGGGGGGAGCCACTGATCAGTTGAGGGCTGCGCTGGCTCACCTTCAGAGCCGCGCTTCCTAATGTCCACACCTGCGCTGGTTTTCTCGGGCAGCTACAGCAGCACACCACAGACTGGGTGCCTTATGCACAACAGACATTCACATCTCACAATTCTGAAAGTTGGGAAGGCTGAGATCAGGATGCTGACAGATTTCGTGTTTGGGGAGAGCTTCCTGGTTCATAGCTGGCTGGTTGTCCTCACATGGTGGAACGGCTGGGGGTGCTCTCTAGGGTCCCTTTTACAAGGCTGCCAACTCCACACATGAGGGCTCTGCCTTTGAGAGGCTCCACTGCCAGATACCATCATCTGCGGATTAGAGAGTCAGTCCACAGTGATGTCCCAGTGCGACTCCCGTGTTGAATCTGGGCTGACCCCAGACTCTTTTGAATCAACTGAATGTGGTAGAAGGGATGCCGTGCCAGTTACAGATCCAGGCCCTAAGGAGGCCTGGCAGCCGGTGCTTTCCCACTTGGGGAGCCCTAACAATGCCGCATCAGAAGCCCAGCTACCACGCTGCACTTGCCAAGTAGAGAGGGAGAAGCCCCAGGACCACATGGAGAGGGAACAGTGCTCAGCGACCTCGGTTTCCCGGCTGAGTCCAGGCTCCCGCCAGCCCTCCGAAGGGGCTAAACATCTTAGTCAACCACGCTGGACATTCCAGCCCAATCAAGGCCCTAGATGACTGCCTGCCAGCCAAAATCATGCAGAGCAGAAGAGCCTCCCAGCTGAACCCAGTCAGCCCTCTGAGTCACTAGCAGTGATAGAGTGGTTGCTCTTTTGAGCCACTAAATCTTGGAGTGGTTTGCACACAGCAGTAGATAACCAATGTGGTGAGACAAGGTTCTGACATGTTGGCCACTGTGACTCGAGGTATATCTGTTGGAGCAGCCAGCGTTTATTTCCCTGACTGAAACAGGATGGTTTCAGGCAAACAGCAGGAACTGAACATAGGTGAAGTCACAAAGCCTGGGGTGTGTGTGGAGACTGCAGTGCCCTTCCTCATCGGCTGACTGATTGGGTGGGGGGAATAAGAGAAGCGACAGCGGCTCTGAGGTTTCAAGCCTGTGACTGTGAGGATGGGCAGCCACCCACTCGTCCACCCACATCCTCCCACCCACCCATCCATACCTACCCACCCACCATCCACCCATCCAGACCCATTCATCCATCCACCTCCTCACCACTCATCCACCTATCCATCTATTCATCCATATCCTTCTACATATCCACCTAGCCATTTACCCACCCATTCATCTGAATCCATCCTTCCATCCGTCCACCCATCCATCCATCCATCCACCCACCCACCCATCCATCCATCCACCCACCCAATCCTGTTAGAGCCTGCTATGGGCCAGGCATGGGACCGTATTTGGATAAAACAGATGTGTTCCTGTCCTTCTCTGGGAACACATAGTGAAATTCCTCAACCCTGCTCAGATTTCATGATCAAGTTCTTTCCTGCACACAGAAAGGTACCAGTGAAGATCACAACCATTGCTTGTTAAGCTCTTGTTTGGAGCCGAGCCCTCTAACTTGTGCTTGACATCCTTTCTGGCCCTTAATCTCCCAACAACAATCTAAGGTGGAAGGCGTTCAGAGGTGAGGTTACAGATCTGCCAGAGCCCGAGGGGTGCTGGGGTTAACACCCAAAGCTGCTGGCCACCCATCTAGTCTTGCTACTGCCATCCTTGTTCCTGGGGGCACTGTCCCCCATCACAGGGCCTTCCCCACCTCTGCCCTCTAGAAGAGAGAGGGACCTTTGCCCTGCCTGCTCTGGACATCGGAACTCGTTTCTCCTAGAGATGATAAGAGAACTGGAAAAATGACAATGGCTGTCCTTTCCTATGCATCAGAGGAGACACTGGGCTAACTATGACCGATGACAGAGCATCCCTGGGACAACTCTCTCGAGCTCCGAGTACACCTGGCCTGGACACAGTCCCGGCACCCAGCCGTGTGTAGGCCCTGGACTGTTGACTGCCTGTAACTGTGAACATTGCTCACTTTGAATGTGCACCTAGCTGGACTCCCTTTCCTCACTCTGGTTGTTTTTCTTATTTATTCACTTTTCTCTTTCCATTATGCTGTGCAAAGACCCCGGGCTTCCTGTTCCAGCTAAACGGCCATCACCACCTTGTTCTTAGCAGAGTGTACATTTTTGTAAATTCTCCCTAGAGATTTATTTCATCACTATGGAAAATGTAACTCTGTTTTCCTAAGTGACGGGTCATGTTTATGCAGGGACTCTGCGTGGGCTCAGAGCCTGGCCAGATGGTCCTGGATGCGCCCCGTGTGACATGAGGAGCAGAGCCCTGACACCCTCCCAGAGCCACATGGCTCTTGGGGACTGTGGGGGCTGGGGACTGTGTGGCTGCGTGCTTGGCACACACCGAGCTGTACGTACAGGGCACAAGGCTCTGCGCCCTGGATGCGCTGGCGGCGCTGAGGCGAGGGAGGGCTTGCTGGGGCTGCGGTTCTGCTCTCCCGGCCAAGCGTGAGTCATGCCTATTTTTAGCAATACCACTCACCAGGTGGGCCAGGTTTCCCACTAACTGTTCTCTGTATTTGGCATCTCCATTTCCTTTGTTGAATGACTAGATGATCCAGGGACTTGGCATTTTCCAGCCAGTACTTATGCACACCTGACTCTTAGCAAGGCTGGCAATGGAGGGAAGGAAAATTAGCTATATTGGGAACTGGTGACATTATGCAGTGATGTTTGCCGAATGGCTTTATGGGCTCTGCAAGCCAATGGGCTGGAGCAGGGATGGCAAACAGCAACAAGGCGCTTGCCGCACCCCCCATTTATTCTGCCGGTGACAGACATGACTAAGTGATCACGAGGCTCTCCCTTCCTGGGCTTGGGCACAGCCTCAGAAAGGGGCTGTGACCAGTTAGCAGGGACCGTCTCTGAGGGTGTGGGCAGGGAGGCATGGAGACAGTGAATTATTTGCCTTCTGGGTTGGACAATATTGGTATACGATTTAGTCATTGTATGGAATGTATTTACATCTGCCTTAGTGACAGTTTGCTAGGCTGTACAGAGCATCTGCTGAATTGGGCTGCAAGGTGCTGTTTGGGAGGTGGTCTAGGGGGACCAGGAGGGCAGTGGGACAGTGAGACAGGTGTGTGGACGGACGCCCCAGTCCCCATCGAGGGCCGCCGGACCTCCTGGAGTCTGTGTAGAATGTGCCCAGAGGGGTTCCTCCCTGGGGTGAGGGAGGGCTACATGCGTTCTTCATCTCCAGACACTCACTGATCTGGGGCTGCCCCTGGGTCAGAGGCCCCAGCACTTTTGTCTGCTGTGGGTGGTGGGGCGGCAGCATGTTCTTGTGTCCAGAGAGCCCTGAGGCCCCGAGCCAGGGAGTTGTGGTGGGAAGCGAGGAGGGGAATGCCCAGGGTATGGGCAGGGCACTGAGCATCTGCCCCAGGAGAGCAGTTTGACAGTGTCACGGAGAAAGGGTGCCACTCTGGGTCATGCCCCTGCCTCGCTGGGTGCACTGGTGTGGCTGCCCAGCCTCCCTGGCAGCCATCAGTCCCACCCCGCTCCCTTGAGGGGTTGCGGTGAGAACCAAATGAGGTAATGTCTGTGGGAATGCCTGGTGATTTCAAAGATCTCTAAGATTCTGTGCGGAGATGAGTTCTGGCTGCTTGCTTCCCTCCCTTATAGGCCTACTCTCCATGGGACCCTGGGTACCTGCTAATCATGACTCCCCTGCTTACTCCCCAGCCAAGCCGGGCCAACGGGGTGTCCTGGCCTCCTGGTCACAGGGCGTGCCCTGAGCAGGGCTCATCTGGGTCTTCCTTGGGATTGACATGTGGGGTTGAGAGAAGACCTCTGGCACCTAGCGGAGGAGACTATGAGCCGAGGGCCCCTGGCAGTCAGTGCCAAGTAGAGCCAGATGGTGGGGAGAGAGCTCGGACTCCTGTGAGGTGTCTTTACTCCACTGGAACTGGGGTTTCTGAGATTTGCAGGGGGAGCCCTACTAACTTGGGATAGAGTTTGCAAAGGACAGGGACCTGGCTGGGTTATATTTGCTGCCACTGAGGATCTCAGAGCAGCCACTACCTGACCAGCATCAGACATCAGAATGGGGGGGCGTCCCACGCTGGCTGGACTCACTCCAGGTACAGTGGGGGAGGCTCTGCGAGATGTCTGCCGGGATCCTCCCATCTGACCCCAGCATCCCGTGGGGCCAGAATCTGCGGCTGCTGCTCTGACCTTGGACTCTGCAAGGCCCTGCCTGGCTCCTTGCCCCCCATGCCTCAGAGCTACCAGGTCTGCTGGTGTCTGTGGTCTTTTCCTGGTGACTGCATAGGTGGCCTCTCCAAGGTGCACATTTCCAGCTTCTTGGTAAAGCCTGGAATGCTCACCCTTTCCCTTGCTGAGCCCGGGGTCGGGGGGATGGAGACGGGGCAGCCCGATGTCAGGAGGTGGGCTCCGTGGGCTGGTGGAACCTCATCCGTGAAGTATATGTACAATCTGTCCCTGTTTCACTTACCGTAAAGCGTTTCCAGTGACTGTGATGTACTTGCCCGGCGCCTTCCCCGCTATGTCCTTGAGTCCAGTAACACCCTGGTGCGACAGTCACGCCTTGCAGAGTTCTGCTGGGGACGAGGACCCAGCGCTGCAAGCAAGACCCACATCAAAGGGTTGGGAAGCTGGGGCAGGGCTGGGCCCCTCAAGTCACACAGATGAACCTCCCTCCCCGGACGATGCCCTGCTGTGGCCATCCCCCAGCCCCCGCCTCTTCCTTCCCTTCTCCCAGTCTGATGGGCCTCCTTCCCTCTGGCAGAGAACAAATGGAGCCCCTACCTTTCAGCCAGCATCCCTGGGCTTCCCTGCCCCCAGGTCCTGTGGCATTTGCGTCCTGTACCCACTACATGTGGGGCAGGCCTTGCTCCATGGCCTGGGGAGGGGAGATGCCCCATGGTACTGTCACTCTGTGGCCGCAGCACAGAGCAGACTGCCGGGGACGTAGCAGGTACGCTACACAGGGGCTGAGCTGACCCCACCCGCAAAGGGCCGCCTGCCTATCTCCTCGTGACAAGAAGAGGCGGGTGAAAGGGCTCAGCTGGGCAGCAGGATGGGCTGCTGGGGAGAGAACCTTCTGTGCTTGGCAGGCCGATGAGCCGGGCAGAGGCGGGGGTGCGGCGCTCTGAGCCCTCACAGAGATGCTTCCCAGCTGTTGTTCATCTGTGCCTTTGTGCAGCCCAAAGAGGAAATGCCTCTGTTGCAGCAGAAGGGGTCCTGTGTTAAAAGTGGGGGCACCAAGGCTGCTCCAGAGACAGATGCTGGGAGGGGCTCTTTGGGGACCTACTGATGTGGGCTCCATGGAGAGGGGTCAAGAGCCCCAGAGCTGGTTGACATTAGAGCTCATGGCGGGAAGCCCACACCTGTGCGACCCCTGCCCCAGGAGAAAGTCATGAACGTCCCCTCCCCTCCCCTGTGCCTCCGCCACCAGACCAGCAGCGGGTCCTGTGTAAAGGGGTGATGACGCCCGGGCACTCTCATGTGGGTGGAGCTTTAGCCCAGCCCTGGGGGATCATCCAGGGCTTGTGTGTGTCCCTGCAGGACATGGTGGGGCTGAATGGCAGAAGAAATGGCTTTTGGGCTGCTAAGGGCACCCCCAGGCCTATGGGGGACTTGACCTTTTCTTCTGCAATCACACTAAGGTGTGCCCATTGTTAGTGGGCCCTGAGCCAAGTGTCCACACTCAGTACGCCCAGCAGCTTTGTGAGCTAATGACAAGCTTTAACACAGATGCGCCAGCTGCTCTTGACAAGGGAGTGACAGCAGCCTTCCTAACCGGTGGCAGACCAACTGGATATCACAGACAAAAAATGGACATGGACCCGTCCTCACACCTTACACAAAATTTCACTCACAATGGACCACACACGTAAATGTAAGACACAGAATGGTGACCCGCTTAGAACACAGAGGAGGCAATCTTTGGGACTTTAGGTGAAGAACTCTCAGATTTGGCATCAGAAAGCATAAAGGGAAAAACTGATAAGCTGGACCTCATCAAAATTAAAAACTTTTGCTATGTGAAAGGCCCTGATAAGAGAGTGTAAAGACAGGCTCTAGCCTGAGAGAAAACATTTGGAAACACCTAGTGTTGTGATGCACGGGAAGCTCAGCAGAGATTGCTGGCAGAACGATGGCGCCAGGGCCCTGGCGTCCTGCGCTGTCCAGAACCTTCTGCGCTGAGGGAAATGTTTGTTGGCACTGTCGAATATGGTAGCTGCAGCCACCTAGGCCTCCCCTCCCTGGCCACTAGGATTGGTCTAAAGCTGATGCCTGGCCCAGGGTGTTGGCCTGAGACCCCAGCCTGGACCCCCGAGCTCACCCCACGTGCTCAAGGACTTTTGAACTGGAGCTGACAGAGATGCTCTGTCCTACTTCTCAGTGACGCCAGGGCAGTGCGGGCCACGTGCAGGAGGTCCACTAGTGAGCTGAGGTACCCACATGGGGAGGAGCGGGGACAGCCCTGCTGCCTCCAGTGCCGCCCACGTGGACTTGTGGGAATAGAGGGCTGCCTGGCTGGTGGGCTGAGCTCCTTCTCGCTGGTCTTGCTGTGGTGGTCTCCGGGCACAGTCAGAGTGGCTAAAGGCCTGGCCTAGGAAGGGGAGGGACGTTTAGGGGCCTTGAGGAGGTGCCCAGCCCCTGCTTCATTTCAGCCCTCTCTCTGGCATTGGCTTTACCATCCCTCTTTGCACTTGAGGAACTGGGGCTCACCCTGGCCAGTCAGCCCCTGACCTGTAATTATGTTGGACTGTTTGGTGGGCCTGTTTGGTGGTCAAGCTTATGCTTTTCCCCAGCACCATGACACCTGCTCAAAGAAATGTTTTTATTAGAAATGCATTGGCCATGTAAAAGTGGCCTGAGTGTGTTCACTCTGGGATTTGAAAAGATAGACTTTGTCCACTAGAGACCAGGTCAGATGGTTATGGTCACTTCACGGCACTGGAACGTCCATAGCCACACCCCTTGTAAGGGCTGGGCCCCGAGCTTCTGCTGCCCATGAGCCTCAGGGCTCCTCCTCTCACTCAGAGTAAAGGCCGGGCTTTAGGGCCCTGAGACCTGGCTCCCCTGTCTGACCCAGCTTCTGGAACATTCCATGCCATTCCTCTGGACTCCACGGGAGCCTACCTCATCTTCCTGGCTCAGGGCACGCTGCCATCACAGGCCCTCGCTTACTGACCTAGATGCTGGTCTGGAGCCCAGTCTGGAGAGGAGCTGCGGGGCTGGGGTCTTGGCCTGGCCCCCTGCCATGTCCCGGGTACTGAGGACCTTCTCCAGGTCTGACTCAAACAAGGTCCTCAATGTAGGTGCAAGGAACAAGTGACATCACACAGCAATTTTTGGCACCAGAGAGTCCATCTGACCTGCCTCAGAAAGGTGTGGGGCACTTGTGTCCCTGGCTGGAGGGCCCCGGGAGCGTAGCATTCCCGGCTGGCCAGGGTATGGAGGGAGCGGCAGCAGCCGAGGAGCTGGAATGGATGGGCACGGCGGTCAGGAGCCAGAAGCCCCCGCCTGCCCTTCCTCCCGCGACTTCCACGGACTCCAGCATTCTGAACACAAGCCCCCGCGCCCAGTGGGATGTTTCAGCGAGGCCCGCACCGGGAAACACTCCGGCTTTCTGAAAACGCTTATTTTATCTTCGGCAAAGTGCTGACCTAGGGGATCTGGGTGTGCCGGGAGGCTGTGGCGAGATGCTGAGGATCCTGGGGAAGTCCTGGCACGCACGAGTGTTCGGGCATGACGAGCTCTGTAGCTGAGGTCTAAACAGGACGGTGAAGCCAGGGTGCAAACACCCTTCTGGGGGCTGCGGGGTGGGGGCGGGGCGGGCTGAGAGAGAGAGGGGAGGGGAAGAGGGGGAGGGAAGGGGAGGCAGCCTGTGAGACGCGCTGCCCAGGAGCGTCAAGGCCCCCCCAGGAGCGTCAAGGCCCCCCCAGGAGCGTCAAGGCCCGGGCCCCACCCAGCCCTCCCCTTGAGGCCTCTGAGGGTCCGGCAGAGCGGGTTTGCCCCGTCATGGTGGGAAGGGAGATAACAAGAAACAGTTGAATAAATACAACTTCCCACTCAAAAGTGGGCCACAGGCATATCATGTTATTCCAGATTTTTCTTCTTTAAATACAAAGCTAGCTCTCCGAGCTCGGCATTCGGAAGGGGAGGTCTTTTCCTCCTCTTCTGGGTGTTCTTTCCCAGTCTGGGGAGCCGGCTTGGGTCAGGGGCAAGAAGGACCACATGAGCGCAGAAGCTTCCGTTTGCAGGGCTGAGTGGGCTGCCTGTGTCCCTCCTCTGCCATCCGGCCCAGCCTGGCCTCCCCCGTTGCTGTCCCCGGGGGCCCCGGGCGCTGCCCATGTGTGCTGCTCGGCCCAGGCTGCCCCAAGCTGTGCCGGGCCTGGGCTTGCAGGCACGCAGTCGCCATAACCCTTTGTCCTGTCGGGGGTCTCCTGGGCCCCTCTCTGCTTGTAATTCTAATGTCACAGGGAGATGGGGGGTTGCTGGTAATGAATGAAGCTGTGATGGGGGCCCTGAGCACCCTGTTTCTGCCCTCCACCCACTTTCTCAAGCAGCCCCTCCCAAGGGCGGGCCTGAAACGGCCCCCTTGCCAGCCCAGAGAAATGCCTGTCTTGGGAGCCCTTCCTGGAGGGCTAAGAGTCCCTTGTCCCTGTCTCCTGCCTGCTGATTCCAGACCTCACACTTGACTTTCTGGGCCTCAGTCTCCCCATGGGAACACTAAGTGGTGGCACAAACATTGCTGGAGGGGGTTGGGGGTGGGAAGGGTGGGATAAATAGGAGCTCCTGCGGCAGGCCTCTTCAGTGAGCTTACTTGCTTCCTCCAGGGAAGGGGTAGCAGGGCTGAGCCTCAGCAGGGCTCCTGTCTGTCACCCAATGTGATGTGTGATCAGCCAGGCCTGCTGCCAGTCGTGGTGGGAAAGGAGGTGACCATGCACGTAGCTGCTGAGCCCTCCAAGGCAGCGTTGGGGAGGTGTCCCCGCAGCTGACCTGCAGCAAGAGGGACAGGGAGGCCTGGGGCGCAGGTCCAGGTCAGGGAAGGCGCCTCTGCTCTGCCTCCCATTGTGAAATTAAAAGCCAGGCAAGTCATCAAAGCCATTTGCTTCCAAGCTTACCCTTGTTCTCTCTGCTTAGTGATCCGGTTCTCCCCCACGTCATTTGCATTTCAAGGGCTCTGTGTCCCCTCTGGAGTAATTCATATACTGAAGTGTTATGAAGAAGTTTGAGCTTTTTAGAGTTAGTAACACCTGCATTTGGAGTTTTTTCTTAAGTGGAGAATGAAACCTATTTGCCAAATCCCTAACCCAAGTCTTTAAGTTAAGCACTCTCAGAGGGCGTTTCTGATTAAAATGCTTCCAGGTTTTACCAGTGATTTTGCTCCAGTGTGTCTTTATATTTTGCCCTGGTGTGAAGGGGGCTCTGTTTGTGTGACATCACTCAAGTTCGGGTTGGGCATTCCTGGATGTCTGAAATAAGCTTTCATCTGCACGACTTCTGTACTGTTGGCCAGAAAACAGGCCACATGGCGTGATAGCAGAGGAAGCATAAAAGTAATACCATGTGTAGTTCTGCACATCACAGACCCTCTGCTGAAAATAATGCAATTGAGAGCATCTGCACCAGGGTAGGTTATGGCTACGTTCATCATGAGGGTGTAAGCCCATTTTATTTTTAATAACCCCCGAAAAAGATTTTTGGAGCTATCACTCAAGAAAATCACTTGCATGTTTATTATTCTAATTTGATCAGTGAAACATCCATAGCTTCAAAATCCCCATTCAATATCACAAACTGCAGCCAGGATTTCCCCCCATGCATTGTTTCCTTCCACAAATATTTGAGTACCTATTTTATGTGTTAGGTGCCAGAGGTCACAACAGACAGAGTGCCTGCCCTGGGGCTGCTGATCTGGCCTGAAGGCTGCTGAT